GAGAGAGAGAGAGAGAGAGAGAGAGAGAGAGAAACATCAATGATGAGAGAGAATCATGGATCGGCTGCCTCCTGCACGCCCCACACTGGGGACCTAGCCCACCACCCAAGCATGTGCTCTTGACTGGAATCAAACCATGACCTCCTGGTTCCTAGGTTGACGCCCAACCACTGAGCCACACCGGCCAGGCTGGGACACAATCGTGATCCCTTAAGATGTTCCAAACACGAGCCAGACCCCGCGCTTGCCGGGGCCCTGCACCTCACCCCATATTAGGCACTGACCGGTCCCTGTGGGGCTCCCCCCGCCCCCACCCCCATGCCGCTTGGAGGTGGTGGTGAGGACCGGTCATCCTGGCCTCGCTCCTACGTCGATGAATCCCAGTGTAGAGTAGGTGGGTCTTCAGGGCACTGTGTTTGCAATTATGTTCCAAAAAGTTTGAAAATGTCTATGAAAAGGGTGGGAGGATAGATTTCAAGCATCTTTTATTTTGGTACAAATTGGCAGCTACAAAATAGTCATGGGGATGTAACGTACAGCTCAGGGAATACCATCAATAATCTATTATATATATATGAGCCTAAGTGGCCATTGCAACCGAGCTGACGACCGAACAGGGGGGTTAGTGAGGGATGACCAAACGACTGAGCAACAGGCTGTGTGGGGGGACCAGGCCAGCAGAGGGGGGCAATGAGGGGTGACTAGGCTGGTGGGCGGGGGCAGTTGGGGGTGACTAGACTGGCAGGGGGGCAGTTGGGGATGACCAGGCCAGCAGGGGGGCCAGTAAGGGGTGACTATGCTGGCAGTGGGGGCAATTGGGGGCAACTAGGCTGGCAGGGGGGGCAGTTGGGGATGACCAGGACAGCAGAGGGGGCAGTTAGGAGTGATTAGGCAGGTGAGCAGCTAGGAGCCAGTGATCCTGGACTGTGAGAGGGATGTCCCCCGAGGGGTCCCGGGTTGGGGAGGGTGCAGGCAGGGCTGAGGGGATTTCCCCCGCCCCACCCCTGTGCACAAATTCCATGCACTGGGCCTCTAGCATTGTAATAACTATGGATGGTGCCGGGGGGGTGATCACTTTGTAAAGTATAGAACTGTCTGACTGTGTACTGTACACCTGGAACCGATATAAATGAATATTAAATGTCACCTATCATTGAAAAGTTAAAAATTAGTATTTTAAAAGAAGCTTCTGGCTGAAACTGGTTTGGCTCAGTGGATAGAGCTCCAGTCTTTGGACAGTAGGGTCCCAGGTTCGATTCCAGTCAAGGACATATGCCCGGATTGCAGGTTCGATCCCTAGTGGGGGGCATGCAGGAGACGGCAAGTCCATGATTCTCTCTCATCATTAATGTTTATCTCTCTCTCTCTCTCTTCTTCTCGGAAATCAATAAAAATATGTATATTAAAAATAATAAAATAGTCTCCTATTTTGCTTCACTACAAAAAAGAAATAAGGTGAAGAGATGCCAGTTCGTGCTTTGATGAATGATTCCACAACATGATGTGGGTCCAGTTACTGGTCTTGGAGGGGCCTCTCGTCCCTCCTCCCACTTCCGAAAAGTCCCCGAAGACCGGAGTAGGAAAGAGGGTGCAGAAGGAGCACCCCACGTCATGGGGAAAAACAAAGACCCGTTTTTCCCCATGACCAGGGGACCCTCCCCATACAGACATCTCTGGCTGGGCTCAAAGTCAAGTAGAAAAAAAACGCACTGAGGATCCCTGCTCCTGGTACTCATCTGCTTTTGTAATTACATGCTCGTTGTTGCAGGGTCGAACCCTGGAATCAGAATAAGACCACCGGAGGCTGATAATTGATTTAAAAAAAAAAAAAAAAGGCAGGCAAGGATTTTTTATATATATATATTTTTTTTTAATATATTTTATTGATTTTTGTACAGAGAGGAAGGGAGAGAGATAGAGAGTTAGAAACATCGATGAGAGAGTGTCATCGATCAGCTGCCTCTTGCACACCCCCTACTGGAGATATGCCCGCAACCAAGGTACATGCCCTTGACCGGAATCGAACCCGGGACCCTTCCGTCCGCAGACTGACGCTTTACCACTGAGCCAAACAGGTTTCGGCGGTTGATTATTTTGTGTGCCCGCCCTGACCAGGGATGGAACCCTCAACCTTCATATATCGAGGTGATGCGCTAACCATCTGCACTACCCGACCAGGCTAGAACGTGATCATATTCGGGGATGGGGCAGGGGAGACTCCAACACCTGACCTGGCTCTTCGCTCGCAGGGACTGTCGGTGCCAGTGGTGTTATTCCTGCCTCTGTCACATTCTGTTCACACCCGGCATGTTCCCGGAGGCGACAGACGCTCCCCAGCCCTCCCTGCTCGCCTCTGAGTCCTCCCAGCCCCAGCGCTGGCTTCCTCACCCATTTCCCCACCGACAGTCTCCGCAAGGCACGCTGGGCTTTTCCAATCCTGCGCCTCACAGCTCCGGCTGCCCCGCCTCTCCCCAACCCTAAAGCCGTGTTCGCGTCTTTACTTTTATTTATTTTATAAAATATTTTTTATTGATTTTTTTACAGAGAGGAAGGGAGAGGGATAGAGAGCTAGAAACGTCGATGAGAGAGAAACACCAATCAGCTGCCTCCTGCACACCCCCCACTGGGGATGTGCCCACAACCAAGGTACATGCCCTTGACCGGAATCGAACCCAGGACCCTTCAGTCCGCAGGCCGATGCTCTATCACTGAGCCAAACCGGTCCGAGTTTTTATTTAAATCCTCACCTGAGGATATTCTTTCCATTGATTTGTAGAGAGAATGGAAGCAAGGGAGGGGGGTGGAGAGAGAGAGAGACAGACAGAGAGAGAAGCATCGATGTGAGAGAGACACATCCCTTGGTTGCCTCCTGCACGTGCCCCCTGACCAGGGCAGGGATTGAACCTGCAACCCAGGTATGTGCCCTTGACCAGGAATCGGACCCATGACCCTTGGGTTGGGGTCCCAGGTTCGATTCCGGTCAAGGGCATGTACCTTCGTTGCGGGCACATCCCCAGTAGGGGGTGTGATAACATCTGTAATATAAAATGTGATCATATCTACGTAATATCCTATATAATAGGATAGGATATTTGGTTGTGAGCCAGTGCTCTAACCACTGAGCAACATACATCACCCAGTGCGTGTCCACGAGGCTCAGCTACTTGTGACGGCAGCATCCCATTTCCGGGAAGTGCCATCTGTGTTCCTCTAGACGCTAGACTCTGTGGTCGGCAAACTGCGGCTCCCGAGCCACGTGCGGCTCTTTGGCTCCTGAGGGCGGCTCTTCCACAAAAGACCACGGTCTGGGGAGTCTGTTTGGAAGATGTGGCGTTAGAAGAAGTTTAAGCTTAAAAAATGTGGCTCTCCTAAGAAATGTCCATCGTTGTCCTGCTGATATTTGGCTCTGTGGACTGATGAGTTTGCCGACCACTGGATTAGACCATCGTCCAGACACACAAAGGTTGAAGGTTCCATCCCTGGTCAGGGCACACACAAGAATCAACCAATGCCCTGGCTGGTGTAGATAGACCATCAACCTGGGAGCTGAAGGGACCCGGGTTCGAATCCAGTCAAGAGCACATGTTGGAGTTTTGGGCTCGGTCCCCAGGAGGTGCGTGAAGGAAGCTCCAATCAATGATTCTCTCTCATCATTGATGTTTCAATCTCTCTCACCCTCTCCCTTCCTCTCTGAAATCAATTAAATATTTTTTTAAATCAGCCAATGAATGCATAAATAAGTGGAACAAATATCTCTCTCTCTCTCTCTCTCTTTCTCTCTCTCTCTCCCTTTCTCTCTCTCTCTCTAAAGTCAACAAGTAAAAAATTTAAAAATAAACAGCCCATCTGGCGGGGCTCAGTGATTGAGCATCGACCTATGAACCAGGAGGGGTTCAATGCCCAGGTTTTGGGCTCCATCCCCAGTGGGGGGCATGCAGGAGGCAGCCGGTCTATTATTCTCTCTCACCATGGATGTCTCTATCTCTCTCTCCCTCTCCCTTTCTCTCTGAAATCAATAAATATTTAAAAAGCAAATAAGATCCCATTCTGAGGTCCAGGGAGCGAGGACCCCAGCACGTCCATTTGGAAAGGACACATTCAGCCCACAGCAACGCTGGTGTCCTCAGTGCAGAATTTCCGGTCGGTCTCGCTGGGTCCACGGACATGTGGCTTCGGGGCTGACCAGCAGCCCGTAACGTGTTTCTGGGAGACAGAAGCACCCCTTCTCTCCGACCCCAGATGCCCCAGACCCCACCACAAACGGACTCCCACTCAAAGCGGTTCCATTTCCAAACCTTTAATCCCAAATCAGACCCCACCCCTGCCCCATGTCTCCAGATTTTGGATTCGTCAGAAGAAGGCTCCCCCACACGGGACAGCCTCCAGATGCCAGACATGAATGGGTCCCTCTCCCCTCCCCCTACCCCCATCCCTAGTGACCCCATCAGGTCCCCACCAACCTCCCTTGGGGACCCTCGTTTGCAAAAAGCCTCTCCCCCTCCCCACCCCCAAGCGGCCCAGGCGCAGCCACGGAGGAACGCGTATGTACAGAGGAAAAGGCGAGGAGGGCACCGGACGGGTCTGTGCAGGCAGCCTGGACCCCGGGAGCCGGGAGAACAGCTTCTCCAGGACGTGGGGGGCGAACAAAAGATGCTGAGGGGCCCTCGCCGGGGTGGCTCAGCGGGTAGAGCATCAGCTCGAGGACCGAAGGGTCCGGGGTTCGATTCATTCAAGGACACAGGGCATGTCCCTCAGTTGCAGACTCCTCCCCGGCCCTGGGGCCCTGGTCGGGGTGCATGCAGGAGGCAACCCATCGACGTGTGTCCCTCTCTCTCTCTCTCTCACATCGACGTTTCTCTCTGCCTCTCCCTCTCCCTTCCTCTCTCTCTAGGGGTCCGTGGAGAAAGGTCCCCGGGTGAGGATTCACAATAACAAGATTCTGAGGGGACAGAGGATCACGGAGGGTTTGCAAGGAGCTGTGAGAAGGCGTGGGGGTGCCCCTAGGGGGCCCGGGGCCCCTGCTTGGGGCAGAGGGAGCCCCAGGGCCAGGGCGGCAGGGTGAGCAGCAGGAAGCAGCAGCCGCCGAGCAGCAGGATCAGGCTGGCCCCCACGCAGCAGCCCAGGGACCAGGAGTACTCGTAGGTGAGGGCCGGGGCGGGCGGGGGCTCGGGGCTGACCCTCTGGACCAGGGCCCGCACGGAATGCCGGAACACCTCCAGGCTGATCAGGAGCAGCAGGCCTGCGGGGAGAGGAGAGACGGGGTGCTCAGGCGCCGGGGGATCCCAGCTTCGGTCTCCGTGTCCCCTCCATGCACCCCGTCCCAGGCTCCTCCCACGGGAAAGCCGCCGAGGCCGGTGTGGCTCGGATCATAGAGCGTCGACCTGCCGACTGGGGGGTCCCAGGTTCGATTCCGGTCAAGGGCACAGGCCTCAGTTGTGGGCTTGATCCCCAGTAGGGGGTGTGCTGGAGGCAGCCCATTGATGATTCTCTCTCATCATTGATGTTTCTACTCTTTCTCCCTCTCCCTTCCTCTCTGAAATCAGCAAAGAAATATTTTTTTAAAGAAATTTCAATCTCCTCCCTCCCTCCCTCTCCCTTTCTCTCTCTCTCTCTCTCTCTCTCTCTCTCTCTCTCTCTCTCTCTCTCTCTCTTTTTCTCTCTCTCTCTCTTTCTTTTTCTCTCTCTCTCTTTCTCTCTTATCAATTACACCCCAGTAAAGTTGAAAAAAGCAGTGATGGTCACCCTGGCCGGTTTGACTCAGTGGATATGGCGACGGCTTGCTGACTGAAGGGTCCCAGGTTCGATTCCGGTCAAGGGCACATGCCTTGGTTGCAAGCTCCTCCCCAGCCTGGGCCCTGGTTGGAGCTTCTGCAAGAAGCAACCCATCAAATTGTTTGTCCCCCATCCATGTTTCTCTCTATTTTTCCCTCTCGCTTCGACTTTCTCTAAAAACCAATGGGAAATTATCCTCTGGTGAGGATAAAAAAAAAAAAAATAAATAGTGGCAGTGGATCACAAAATGAAAAGAAAGGCAGTCAAGTTGCAAGGCACTTTGATCTTAAAAAGAAAAGGTGGAGCCGAAACCGGTTTGGCTCAGTGGTAGAGCATCGGTCTGCGGACTGAAAGGTCCCGGGTTCGATTCCGGTCAGGGGCATGTACATGGATTGCGGGCACATCCCCTGTTGGGGGTGTGCAAGAGGCAGCTGGTCGATGTTTCTCTCTCATCGACATTTCTAGCTCTCTATCTCTCTCTCTTCCTCTCTGTAAAAAATCAATAAAATATATTTTTAAAAAAGAAAGAAAGAAAAGGTGGGAAAAGGAACAAGACAAAGACCCTGACCTCCTGGGGCTTAGAGTCTAGGAGACAGGGATAGTAAACAATGCTTGCAGGAGCCAGTGAGCACGTGCACAGATAATGCAGCAGGCAGGTGTGGTGGGAACAGTGACAGGGCGACTGGAAACCCAGCTTCCGCCCCCTGCAGCCCCTCACCTATCAGCCGCCTCCTGCGTGCTCCTGACTGCGGATCCAGCCTGCACCCCAGGCATGTGCCCTGACCAGGGATCGAACCACCAACCTCCCAGTGCCTGGGTCAGCACTGTAGAGGGCCCCCTGGGAAGGCATGTGGGCATTTCTTGAATTACCGTCCTTTGAAACCAAGGCAGAGCCACACCCTGGGAACACACTTTGCCAAAAGGGCAAAAGTGTTATCAGCTTGGCCTTCATTTCAGCCCCGGTGTCAGGGGAGTGTGACTTTGATATGCAAATCCAGTCAGGAATGCTCAGGCCTACTGAAGAAGGCAAATAATCTCCTTTGATCCTAACTTTTGGTGGGACTTCCTGGTACTTGGGGAATATAAATAAACACGGTGCCTTGGCTCCACCCGGCTCCCAGCTTTTCTCTTCTATCTTCCTGCCTGGTCTCTTCCTTTCTTTTATTTCTCAATCCCCAGCTCCTCTACTCAGGAATGGGACCGGCTCATTTTTCCATGCTGGACACGGAAAGAGAGAAACACCAGCCAGGGCGAGAGATAATTTCTAAATGATGATGATGATGATGGCTCTGATGGGAATTCGCCCAACCCTGAGCTACCAGCTGCGAGAAATCTTTGCGCACTTCCCACCAATCCAAGGAAAATCACAGGCCGTCCCTGGCCTGCCAGCTGCCAGGCCACAGCCTCCGGGAGTAAACACACACGGAGACAAGATAATTTCAGAGAGTGAGGCATGCTGGGAAGGCATGCTGACAGCAGGGTGATGGGAAGGGGAGTGACAGCCAGGGGGAGGAGCAAAGACTTTAAATAGTGTCGGTCAGAAAAAGGCATCCATCTCGGCTGAGACGGGAATGAGGGATGACAGGAAGCCGGCCAGCCAGCCACGGGTGAAATGAAGCGAGGGCTCTTCCGAGCAGGAGGAGTGGCCGGGGCGAGGGCCCAGGGTAGGAGGGGGTAGAGGGAGTCTGAGGAAAAGAGAGGAGGTCAGTGCGACCACAACAAAGAGAGTGGGGAGGAGGAGAGTGATGGGCGGTGGCCGTGCAGAGGTGGGAAGGGGTCGGATCACTTAGGGCCATTTTTAAAAAATATATATTTCTATTGATGTCAGAGAGGAAGGGAGAGGGAGAAAGATAGAAACATCAATGATGATTGATCGAGAATCATTGATGGGCTGTCTCCTGCATGCCCCCCACTGGGGATCGAGCCCACAACGCATGTGCCCTTAGTCAGAATGGAACCCGGGACCCTTCAGTCCGCAGGCTGACGCTCTATCCACTGAGCCACACCGGCCAGGGTTCCCCATGGCTCTGAATCAGGGGCCTGGAGCATGCAGCTGGGAGTCTGTGCACCATGGTTCAGTGATCACCCCCCTGAGCTCTTCCTGGCCTCACGCAGCTCAGCATGAGGGCCTTGAAGGTGGAAAAGAATCTGGACAAAGAGGTGACACTGCCCAGTCCCCTTCACGCCTTTGCTAGTTCCTGCACCTTTCCTTCATTCGACAGATCCTAACGGAGCTCTCATTATGAAATACTAGAGGTCCAGTGCACGAAATTCATGCACTGGGGTCCAATCTGAGACCCCTCTCACGATCCAGGACTGCTGGCTCCCAACTGCTCGCCTGCCTGCCTTCCTGATTGCCTCTAACCGCTCCTGCCTGCCAGCCTGATCACCCCTAACCACTCCCCTGCCAGCCTGATTGATGCCTAACTGCTCCCCTGCCAGCCTGATTGCCCCTAACTGCCTTTCCCTGCAGATCTGGGTCCCCCCCAACTGCCTTTCCCTGCAGACCTGGGTCCCCCCTAACTGCCTTTCCCTGCAGACCTGGGTCCCCCCTAACTGCCTTTCCCTGCAGACCTGGGTCCCCCCCAACTTTCCATCAACCTAGTCACCCCTAACTGCCCTCCCCTGCTGGGCATCTTGTGGTGGCCATCTTGTGTCCAATGGGGGCGGCCATCTTTGACCACATGGGGGCAGCCATCTTGTGTGTTGGCGTGATGGTCAATCTGCATATTACTCTTTTATTAGATAGGATAGAAGGAGACTAACAGAGGCTCCCCCCGGAAGGAGAGGTGGACAAGAACCAGGTAAATGTATGTGGATGCTGAGCCGCATCCTCTATTTGGTGGTGGGGCTTTTAAAGATATAAGTTAAAATGAGGTCATTCGAGCCAAAACCAGTTTGGCTCAGTGGATAGAGCATCGGTCTGCCGACTGAAGAGTCCCAGGTTCGATTCCGGTCAAGGGCATGTACCTTGGTTGTGGGCACATCCCCAGTAGGGGGTGTGCAAGAGGCAGCTGATCGATGTTTCTCTCTCATCGATGTTTCTAACTCTCTCTCCCTCTCTCTTTCTCTCTGTAAAAAATCAATAAAAAAAAATTTTTTTTAAATGAGGTCATTAGAGTGGGCTGTCTTTACAAGAAGAGATGAGGGCACAGACAGGCACAGGGGCGACCACGTGAGGACACGTGGAGAAAAGGGCCGTCTGCAGGCTGGGGAGAGGGGCCTCAGGAGGTCCAGCCCTGCTGACCCCGGGAACCTGGACTTCCAGCCTCCAGGGCTGAGAGAAAATGCATTTCTGCTGTCAAGCCACCCAAGGTCCAAATCTTTTTTTTTTTTTTTAATTATTAAATTTACTACAGGCCCGTTGCATGATATTCCTGCAAGAATAGGCCTTCCTGCCCTGGCTGGTTTGGCTCAGTGGATAGAGCGTCAGTCAGCCTGTGGACAAAGGATCCTGGGTTCGATTTCAGTCAAGGGCATATGCCTGGGTTGCAGAGTCTGTCCCCAGTGGGGGGTTTGCAGGAGGCAGCCAGTCCATGATTCTCTCTCATCATTGATATTTCTATCTCTCTCTTTCTTTTCCTTCCTCTCTGAAATCAATAAAAATGTATTTAAAAAAAAAAAAAAAGAAAGAAAGAAAGAATAGGCCTTCCTTCCCCCGGCTTCACTCCCAGCCCACCCGGGAGCCAGCAATTCCTTACTTCTGGCTGGAGCACCGCTCCTATAGCTCCCTCAGCTGCCCCCCTCACCCCCTCAGGGCAGGTGTCCCACTCCTCCAGCCTGCTCCACACCCGCATATGCAAATTAACCTGCCATCACTCTGATTGGCTGTGGACATAGCGGAGGTATGGTCAATCTACATGTTTGACTATTATTAGCTAAGATTGGGGTGTCCTTGGTTAATAGGATCATGTAGGTTTCAGGGGTGGATTTCCATGTCACAGGATCTGTATATTGCACTGTATACCACCCCACAAAGTCAACTCATCTTCCCTCACCCTATAGTCGGCCCCCTTCACAGCCTCACATGCCAGAGTGCTTGGAGAGAGACCCTCCAATTCCGAGCCAACAACGGGGCTTAGTAGCTGAGCCTCCTACCAGCCCTTGTGCCTCCCCCCATACAACAGTGCTTGGAGACCTCTCAGCCTCCCAGCATGCAACAGTGCTTGGAGACCTCTCAGCCTCCCAGCATGCAACAGTGCTTGGAGACCTCTCAGCCTCCCAGCATGCAACAGTGCTTGGAGACCTCTCAACTTCCCCACAGGCAACAGTGCTTGGAGACCTCTCAGCCTCCCAGCATGCAACAGTGCTTGGAGACCTCTCAACCTCCCAGCATGCAACAGTGCTTGGAGACCTCTCAACTTCCCCAAATGCAACAGTGTTCGGGGACTCTGCCTCCCAGAATTCAACAGTTCTCAGAGATCTTACCTCCCATTATGCAACCCAGCATGCAACTGTCCTTAGAGATCCCACTTGCCATCGTGCAACAGTGCTTGGAGCTCCTACCTGCCAGCATGCACAGTTCTTGTAGACCATACCTCCCAGCATGCAATGGGGTTTAGAGCTCCCACCTCCCAGCAGGCAACAGTGCTTGGGGATGCCCCCACCTCCCAGCATGCAGTGTCCTCAGTCTGCAGGCTCGGGCCCGGCCCTCACCTGAGAGGCCAAAGCAGATAGCGCCCACGCGGACCAGGAACTCTGCGCCTTTGCTGAGCACCATGATGATGCAGAGGCACCCCAGCGCCATGACCGTCAAGCCGAGAACCGCTATCACCGCGGCGGCCAGGTTCATCTCTGCGCGGGGGAAGGGGAGGAAGAACACGGGATGCAGAGAGTGGGCGAGCTCCCCCTCAGGAAGCCAGAGCCAGGGAAGTGGGAGACTCGGGAGGAGAGGAGAATGTGCTCGCAGAAGCCCTAACCGGTGTGGCTCAGTGGATAGAGCGTCTGCCTGTGGACTGAAAGGTCCCAGGTTCGATTCCAGACAAGGGCATGTCCTTTGGTTGCATCTGCCAGGTGCACCCCTCACGCACATCCGTGATGGGGCCAGGGAGGAGCCAAGAGCTCCAGGTGGTGTCTGGTCCATCTCGCTCCATCTTGATTGGCCAGACCCCAGCAGCAAGCTGACCTACGGGTAGGAGCATCTACCCCCTGGTGGGCAGTGCACATCATAGTGACAGGTTGACCAGTGGACTATCTGCACCCTGGTGGTCAGGGCACGTCACAGTGAGCGGTGGAGCAGCCTTAGCATATCATTAGCATAGTACCCTTTGATTGGTTGTTCAGTTGTTCTGCCCCTCGGTCTATTTTCATGTTACCCTTTTATTATATAGAATGTTTCTCTCTCTCTCTCTCCCTCTCCCTCTCCCTTCCTCTCTGACATCAATAAAAATATGTTGGGAGTTAAAAATAAAGTACCAGCCGAAACTGATTTGGGTCAGTGGATAGAGAGCATCGGCCTGCAGACTGAAGGGTCCCAGGTTCAATTCCGGTCAAGGGCATGTACCTTGGTTGCGGGCACATCCCCAGTACGGGGTGTGCAGGAGGCAGCTGGTCAATGATTCTCTCTCATCGATATTTCTAACTCTCTATCCCTCTCCCTTCCTCTCTGTAAAAAAATCAATAAAATATATTTTTTTAAAAATAAAATTAAAAATAAAAAAGTACCATGCACAGAGAGGGGCTGTGACTTGCCCAGAGTTGCACAGCACCTGGCAAAGGCAGAGCCAGGTAGGAGTGTTGGGCACAGGGCCCTGCAGACCCAGGACCCTCCTGCCATCACTGCCCCCAAAGTGGGACCTCCCCGGGGCACAGGAGCTGAGCCCAAGCCTGCCGAAACCCCTCCAACGCGCACACCCCCACCCCCACTCCCGACCCCCACCGCGGGGCCACAGCCTCTCACCTTTCTTCGTGGTTCTGTGGAAGATGTGTGCATTCTCTCCCGTGGTGAAGAACTTGAAGTAGGTGCAGTTGGTTTCTGTGGGAGCGAGGGGGAGCGAGAAATGAGGGAGGTGATGCGGGGGAGGGGGTCGGGGGAGGGGGGAACCCTCGTGTACATTCGGGGCTGGATAGTACGGCTAGCTCACAGTAGCCAGAGAATATGAGAGGAGCATCCCTGATAAAAATATGGCAGAAGAGCCCTGGCCGGTGTGGCCCAGTGGAGAGCGACGGCCTGCGGACTGAAGTGTTCGGGGGTTCCATTCCCATCAAGGGCACATGCCCAGATTGTGGGTTCCATTCCCCAGTAGGGGGCATGCACGAGGCAGCTGATCGATGATTCTCATCACTGATGTATCTCTCTCTCTCTCTCACTCACTTTCGTTTGCTCTCTGAAAACAATGAAAACATATATTAAGCCGAGACCGGTTTGGCTCAGTGGATAGAGCGTCGGCCTGCGAACTGAAAGGTTCCAGGTTCGATTCTGGTCAAGGGCATGTACCTTGGTTATGTGCAAGAAGCATCTGGTCGATGTTTCTCTCTCATCGATGTTTCTAACTCCCTATCCCTCTCTCTTCCTCTCTGTAAAAAAAAAAATCAATAAATATATATTTAAATATACTTTTTTTTTTAAATATGGCAGAGGAGAAAAATGATGCACAGCAAAAGCCACCTGTTGCCACACAATTAATTCAGAGCTGGGATTCCAATATGGAGCTTTTTAAAATTTGATTTTAGGGGGAGAGAGAGAGAGAGAGAGAGAGAGAGAGACATCGATATGTTATTCCACTTATTTATGCATTCATTGGTTGATTCTTATATATGTCCTGATGGGGGAATCAAACCCACAACCTTGCTGTATAGGGGCAATACTCTAACCAACGGAGCTTCCTGGCCAGGCCAACCTACGTGTTGTGTGTATGGGACTGGCTCTGTGGCAGTGGAATGGCACTCAACCTTTGCTGTCTCCCAGGGGTGCCCGGGCTGGTCTTTCCGGAGGAGAGACTCTGACAGACTTTCTGAAATGAAGTACATTTCTACCCTACAACCACCTGTTTTCCTTCCCGGAATACCTACAGACAAAAACCATGTGCAGGTACATATATGTTTGCAGTAACAGAGAGTCCGAAGACTAACAGAAAGCAACCTACAGAGATTTGAGAAATAAAAATAAAAACTGGGACCCAGCCGAAACCGGTTTGGCTCAGTGGATAGAGTGTCAGCCTGCGGACTGAAAGGTCCCGGGTTCGATTCCGGTCAAGGGCATGTATCTTGGTTGCAGGCACATCCCCAGTAGGAGGAGTGAAGAGGCAGCTGATCGATGATTCCCTCTCATCGATGTTTCTAACTTTCTATCCCTCTTTCTCTTCTTCTCTATAAAAAATCAATAAAATATATTTTTAAAAAACAAAAAACAAAAAACTGGGACCCTGGCCTGGTAGCTCAGCTGGTTAGAGCATTGTCCAGATTCATGGTCGGCAAACTGCAGCTCCCAAGCCACATGCGGCTCTTTGGCCCCTGGAGGGTGGCTCTTCCACAAAATACCACGGCCTGGGGAGTCTATTTGGAAGAAGTGGCGTTAGAAGTAGCTTAAGTTTTAAAAATTTGGCTCTCCAAAGAAATTTCAATCGTTGTCCTGTTGATATTTGGCTCTGTGGACTCATAAATTTGCCGACCACTGAACCAGATACACCAAGGTTGCAGATTTGATTCTCAGTCCGGGCACAAAACACACAAATCAACCAATGAATGCATCTATAAGTGGAACAATGAATCCCTCTCTCTCTCTCTCTCTCTCTCTCTCTCAAAATCCATCAATAGTTTTTTAAAAACCACACACATTAGGGGCTGAGTCAGGAAGAAATGAAATAAAAGAATAATAACGCTAACTGGAGCACAAGAAGGATCTTGCAAAGGCTGATGATGACTTTGTGACATACCTGCGAGCATGAGTCATCCAACGCTGTCCAGAACCCTAAACTTTACAAACAAGCAAACCCACTTTCCGAGCTGCATATAGAAGCCAGAGCTTCCTGCAGAATTCACTCTTCCAACTTTCTTTTACATTTAAAAAATATATCTTATTGATTTTTTACAGAGAGGAAGAGAGAGGGATAGGGAGCTAGAAACATCAATGAGAGAGAATCATCGATCAGCTGCCTCCTGCACACCCCCCTACTGGGGACGTGCCCGCAACCAAGGTACATGCCCTTGACCGGAATGGAACCTGGGACCTTTCAGTCCGCAGGCTGACGCTCTTTCCATGGAGCCAAACTGGTTTCGGCTACTCCAACTTTCTTATCCTACAGTTGGGGAAACTGGAGCACAGAACGGGAGGGGAGAGGGAGTGGGGGAAGAGTCCGGAGGGAAGGGGGGCTGACAATGCTCTGGGTACTTGACATGCACTAACTCGTGAATCCACAGGGCAACCCTGGGCATGAGACCATCAATCACCCCCATTCTACAGGAAAGAAACACGAGGAGGGGTAAACTGAGTCAGGGAAGGTGGGACATCCCCCCCACCCCCGGTGGCCTGAGGAGAGGAAGGGTCATGAGCTGTCCCACTGGGAGCAGTGTTGGTCCTCATGGTTCAGTTAGGACCTATTGTGGCCGTCCATGGGGGGTACAGGGCCACACCCACGCGGGGGTGGGGAGGTTGGGGGGGGGAGACTGGGCCGTCCCGTCTAGCCCATATGGTACCTTGTGAGGTGTCTGGCACCCTGGTCACTAACCATCTAAGACATCTTGTCTCTGACCCCAAAGGATATGGCACATCCCATTTGGAAAAGAAAAATCAATAAATTAAAATAATTTTTTAATTGATGTCATAGAGGAAGGGAGAGGGGGAGAAACATCCATGATGAGAGAGAATCATGGATCGGCTGCCTCCTGCACGCCCCCTACTGGGAATCGAGCCTGCAACCCAGGCATGTGCCCTTGACCAGAATCGAACCCGGGACCCTTCAGTTCGCACGCAGGCTGACGCTCTATCCACTGAGCCAAACAGGGTAGGGTGAAAATCAATAAATTTAAAAAAAATTGTTTTGAAAAAAGAGGGATGTGCCCAGCCAGTGTGGCTCAGTGGTTGAACCAGGAGGTCACGGTTTGATTCCTGGCCAGCGCACATGCCCGGGTTGCAGGCTCGATCCCCAGTAGGGGGTCTGCAAGAGGCAGCCAATCAATGATTCTCTCTCATCATTGATGTTTCTCTCTGTCCCTCTCCCTTCCTTTCTGAAATCCATAAAATATGTATATGTAATTTTAAATATATATATATATATATATATATATATATATATATATATATATAATTGATTTTTTTAAAGAGAGTAAGGGAGAGGGATAGAGAGAATTAGAAACATCAACCAGCTGCTCTCCCCCCACCAAACCCCCCACTGGGGATGTGCCTGCAACCAAGGTACATGCCCTTGACCGGAATCGAACCTGGGACCCTTCAGTCCACAGGCCAACACTCTATCCAATGAGCCAAACCGGTTAGGGCAAAATATGTATATGTATTTTAAAAGATAAGCATTGCTATAAAAATCAACACAGAGATGGGAGGGGGCCCCATGATACGCAGCAGGTGGGGGAGGGGGTGTCTCAGGACAGTGAAGGTAACACTTCCTGGGAAGCGGAGTGACTGGGGGGTCGGGAGACGTGAGGTGAGAGCTCCGTTTGGGGGTACAGGCTGGTCTGGGGGTACAGGCTGGTCTAAGTGGGGCAGGCATGATTCTATGGGGTCCAGGCTGTCCGCCCCAGGCCCTCAGGGTGGGGCAGCTGCCTGGGGTGGGAAGAGCGAGCTGACACGGGCGCCCAGCCTCCCGGGGGCACAGGCGGTGTGTGGGCACGTGCACAGGGCACAGGCTGTCCCGTGTGGGTGTTCTGGGGAACGCAGGCTGCCGAGGGCGCCGGCTATGAGGAGCCGCTGGCTGGTGTCGGCCGAGGCCACGTGCAGAGGCACGGCTTCCCCGGGCTCTGGGGGGACAGGCTGGCCCGGGGACACGGTGTCTGGGATCACAGGCTGTGCCCAGGCTGCAGGAGTCACAGGGTGTTCTGGGGCACAGGGTGTTCTGGGGGGACAGGCTGATCTGGGGGCACAGGCTGGTCTGGGGCACAGGCTGGTCCAGGGGTACAGGCTGGTCTGGGGCACAGGCTGGTCTGGGGCACAGGCTGGTCTGGGGGGACAGGCTGGTCTGGGGCACAGGCTGGTCCAGGGGTACAGGCTGGTCTGGGGCACAGGCTGGTCTGGGACACAGGCTGGTCTGGGGCACAGGCTGGTCTGGAGGGACAGGCTGGTCCGGGGGGACAGGCTGGTCTGGGGCACAGGCTGGTCTGGGGCACAGGCTGGTCCAGGGGTACAGGCTGGTCCAGGGGCACAGGCTGGTCCAGGGGTACAGGCTGGTCTGGGGCACAGGCTGGTCCAGGGGTACAGGCTGGTCTGGGGCACAGGCTGGTCTGGGGCACAGGCTGGTCTGGGGGGACAGGCTGGTCTGGGGCACAGGCTGGTCCGGGGGGACAGGCTGGTCTGGGGCACAGGCTGGTCCAGGGGTACAGGCTGGTCCAGGGGCACAGGCTGGTCCAGGGGCACAGGCTGGTCTGGGGCACAGGCTGGTCTGGGGCACAGGCTGTTCTGGGGTATATGGTGATCTAGGGGTATAGGCTGGTCTGGAGGTACATAGTGGATTGGATACAGGCTAGTTGGGGTGGGGGGGTACAAGCTGGTCTGAGGGTATAGGTATTGGATACAGGCTAGTTGGGGTGGTGGGGTACAAGCTGGTCTGGGGCACAAAGCTGGTCTAGGGGTGCAGACTGTTATGGGGAACAGGCTGGTCTGGGGGTACATGGTGATTTAGGGGTATGGGCTGGTCTGAGGGTACAGGTTGGTCTGGGGGTACAGGCTGGTCTGGGGGCACAGGCTGGTCTGGGGGTACATAGTGGTTTGGGTACAGGCTGGCCTGAGGAAACAGGTGGGTCTTGGGGTACAGGCTGGTCTGGGGGAACAGGTGGATCTAGGGTTTCAGGCAGATCTAATAAGATGATTCAGGGCTACAAGCTGGCCTGGGGCACAAAGCTGGTCTAGGGGTGCAGACTGTTATGGGGCACAGGCTGGTCTGGGGGTACATGGTGGTTTAGGGGTATGGGCTGGTCTGGGGCACAGGCTGGTCTGGGGGTACAGGCTGGCCTGGGGGTACAGGCTGGCCTGAGGGAACAGGTGGATCTAGGGCTACAGGCTGGCCTGGGGTACAGGTCTGTGCCCGGAGCAAAGGCCACTGGGGAGCCCGGGGTGGTGCAGGCTCCCTCCCCGGGGCTCAGCTCCCTCTGGGGGGCTCAGCTCCCTCCCCCCGGGCCCTCCCAACCCCCTTACTCCCCTCGACCCCCCCCCCCCCGCACCTCACCTCCGGGCAGCTGCGCGGGGCCGCAGGTGCGGCGGCCGGCCGGCACGTCCTCCTGCCACAGGCGCTTCACGCACACCTTCCAGAGCCCCAGGTACGCGGCGTCGCACACGGCGCTGCCGTTGGCCTTGACGGTGTTGAGCTCCACCCAGAACTCGGTGCCCACGGCCAGCACGGCCAGCGCGGCGCCCACGGCCGCCAGCAGCAGCGCCAGCTTCAGCTTGCCCTCGCGCTCCGGCGCCAGCCCCGGCCCCGCGCGCCGCGCGCCCCGCCGCCGGTCCTCCTCTTGCATCAGGAAGTTGGACCACATCATGGTCCCGGCGGGCGGGCCGGGCCGGACCGGGCCGGGCTCCGGGAAGGGCTGGGCTCCGGGCTGGGTCCGGGGAAGGGCTGGGCCGGGGCCGGGGCGGGGCTGGGGGGCGGCGGGGGGCGGGAGGACACGCCTTGGGGTCCCCCAGACACTGGGGCGGGGGAGGGGGCTGTCTCCACGGACTACAACGCAAGGAACCCCTGAGCCTCCCCGGAACCTCACATGGGGCGCTAAGGGTGCCTCTGCGTCTCAGAAGAGGAGAAAAAAGCAAAACAAGACACCCCCACCCCCACCCCGCCCCCCCTCCCTTTGCACGCACACACCCTGGGGAGCCGGGAAGGAAGGGCCTGCGTTGCCACAGAAACTCAGCGAGGATGCGGGACCCGGAGCAAGAGCGAGGCCTCGCCCGGGAGGGGGCCGGAGGGCTCGGGGGTGGGGGTGAGGGGTGCTCCGCCCCCGCCCGTCGGCACGGATTTCGGGGTGCGCAGCAGAGGACGCTGTGCGTTTGAAAGGAGGCGCCGCTTGCCTTCTAGCCTCGGAGTCGGGGCGGGGGAGCTGGGGGGCTGGGGGAGGAGTCAGGTCCCCTTTGGGGGCGTCGCGGGGAGCTCAGCCCTCCTCCTGGGCCTCAGAGAGGCAGCGGGGGACCCCCCCACCTACACACACACACCCCAACATTCACACACCAGGGAGCAACCGAGTCCTGGCTGGGGGTTCAGAACCAGGGGGACCTGCTGGAGTCAGAGAGCGACTCCATCCAAGCTCTGCCCTGGGAGGGGGGGGTGCAGAGGGCTCCCCGGGAGCTCAAAGTGGGGGTGCGGGGAGGCTCAGATTGAGGGGTGCAGCCCAGCTAACCGGGACGGACGGACGCGCCCCGCGGGGGACACAGCGGGGGACCCGATGGGGCGCCCCTCCCCCCGGGCTCCCAGGGCTCCAGGCTCCGCTCCAGGCCGGGCGCCCCCGCAGCCTCCCGCCCCGGCCCCGGCCCCCCGGCTCCCGGCAGGGACCCCGCTCGCCCGCCGCCGCCGCCGCCGCCCCAGCTCCGCGCTCCGCTCCGCCGCCGCCGCCGCCGCCGCTCCCGGGCCTCCCCGGCCGCCCCTCCGCCCCCTCCGCCGGCTATTTCGGGCGCGACCCGTAAATAACACCGCACCTGTCGCCGGCGCCCGTTGCCATGGGGACCCCGGGTATTTTAAGGAGACGCGGCGCGGGGAGGGGGGCGGGGGCCCGTCCCGACCCGGCGGGAGCCCCGAGGGACGTCCGTTCCCGGGAGGGGCGTGCGCGCCCGCCCAGGGTCCGATCTCCCTCCCGGCGAGGAGGGGGGAGAGGGAGCAGGACGGCAGCCCGGAGTTTCGGTTTTGGGTCTAAACAGGGCGCAGCTGGGAGCCTGAACTGCTGGATCCGAGGGAGGAGGGCTGGGGGCCTGGGCTCCTGGGTCTGAGGGAGGAGGGGCTGGGCTCCTGGGTTTGAGGGAGGAAGGCTGGGGGCCTGGACTCCTGGGTCTGAGGGAGGAGGGCTGGGGGCCTGGTCTCCTGGGTCTGAGGGAGGAGGCTGGGGGGCCTGGGCTCCTGGGTCTGAGGGAGGAGGGCTGGGCTCAGATCCCGGGGTTTGAAGGGGGAAGAACAGAGGCCCATGCTGGGGTCCTCAGCTCCCGGGGGCGGGGGGAGGCAGGGGGCGGGAGGGGAGGGGAGGAGGAGGTAGAAGGGTCAGGCGGGCGGAGCACAGAATCAGAGCCGCAGTCCTCTTCCTGGAGTTTATTAGGCGGGAGGGGAACCCCGGGACTTTCCATGGAGTCTTGCTCCTCGGGGGCAGGGACGGGCGCCCCCGTGGAATGGCCGTGGGGCCTGGTCTTCACCCTGTCACCCCGCCCTCCGCCCGTGTGCTGATGGGACGGCCCAGGGGGACCCACTTTCACCCACAGCTCTGTCCTCGGCTGGCTGCTCCAGCGGCAGGTGGGGGGTGGGGGGCGGCCTTCTCCGTGCACCTGTTCCGGACGCCACAGTGCCCTTTATCGTGTCACCAGAGCACACATCGCCCTGGGGTGTGACCCTGTGTGTCCGTGGGCCTGGGTGCTCGGGGAACTCACCTCCTGGCCCTCAGCACAGCCCAGCCCAGGACACAAATGTGCATTAGGCCACATGAATGAGTGAATGAATGAATGAGCAGAGGGAGGGAGGGAGGGAGGGAGGGAGGGAGGGAGGGAGGGAGGGATGGATGGGCAAATGGATGGATGGATGAATGGATGGATGAGCAAATGGATGGATGATGAGCAGATGGATGGATGGATGAGCAAATGGATTGATGGATGGATGGGCAAATGGGTGGATGAATGGATGGATGGATGGGCAAATGGATGGATGGATGGATGGATGGGCAAATGGATGGATGGATGGATGGATGGATGGATGGATGGATGGATGGATAGATGGATGGGCAAATGGATGGATGGATGGATGGATGGATGGATGGATGGATGGATGGATGGAGGTTTGGATGGATGGATGGATAAATGGATGGATGGATGGATGGATGGATGGATGGATGGATGGATGGATGGATAGATAAATGGATGGATGGATGGATGGATGGATGGATGGATGGATGGATGGATAGATGGATGGATGGATGGATGGATGGATAGATGAAGTGTGACGAGGACACACAAACATCCCCTCCCAGACCTGGGGAAGTGCCCCCGTCAGACCACAGCCCCCTCTGCTCTGAAATGCAGGCCGGGGTGGGGGCACTCGGAGGCCTCAGGAGATTGCGTCAGTGAATGAGCTGTTTCTTCCCTCTCGGGTCCCGGGTCTCCCGAGGCCTCCACGGGTGCGCTGGGTGCTGGCAGCAGCCCGGATGGCGGGCGCAGGGCAGGGCAGCCCTGGGGCGGTTCGCCTGTTCCCCGAGTCTGTGTCCCCTCCGGCCCTGGGCCCCCCCATCTTTTCTCAATCCATCAGCTGCCACAGCTCCCCCATCTCCCTGTCTCTCTTTTCACAGAAAGGGGGCGCACTTTCTTTGGTGTGGAAGTACCCGTCTCGTTCACACCACCAAAGGTCGGCCTGGTCTCCTTGCCTTCACCTTCACTCCCTCCCCCCCCCCCCCGCCTTTGTGTGGCAATGACCTCTTACCAAACCAAATGGTTGCTTTGGGGTGGTGGGGAGTCCCCTTGTTCTTAGCAGCTTGGTGAGGTTCCTCCTGGTCTGTGGTCTTGACTCCTGGGTCTGAGGGAGGAGGAGGGGCTGGGGCCTGGGCTCCTGGGTCTGAGGGAGAAGGAGGGGCTGGGGCCTGGGCTCCTGGGTCTGAGGGAGGAGGGCTGGGGGCCTGGACTCCTGGGTCTGAGGGAGGAGGGGCTGGGGGCCTGGGCTCCTGGTTCTGAGGGAGGAGGGGGCTGGGGCCTGGGCTCCTGGGTCTGAGGGAGGAGGGGCTGGGGGCCTGGGCTCCTGGGTCTGAGGGAGGAGGGCTGGGGGCCTAGGCTCCCGGGTCTGAGGGAGGAGGCTTGGGGACTGGGCTCCTGGGTCTGAGGGAGGAGGGCTGGGGCCTGGGCTCCTGGGTCTGAGGGAGGAGGGGGCTGGGGCCTGGGCTCCTGGGTCTGAGGGAGGAGGAGGCTTGGGCCTGGGCTCCTGGGTCTGAGGGAGGAGGGTCACTTGTCTTGTCCACATCCACCTCCTTTGTCACCTAACCCAGCCTCATGACATTCCGTGTCTCCTCTGTGCTGACCTGTCCAAAATGCATATTTCTAGCCATGACCTGTCCCCCGGCTCACATTTCCCACTGGCGACCTGATCGGCCGGCTTGGGTTTCTCACAGGCGTCTCCACAGGGTGCTCAGTTCCTTCCCCCCAATCCTGACTCCTGCCCCTGTGACCCCCCTGGTGTGCGCCTCCCCCATGAAGGCTTTCTATCCCCCACCCCCCCTGCAGCATCCAGTTCATGTCCAATTGGTTCTGTCTCCAGAATCCCGCTCCTCACCATCCTCGCCGGCCCCACAGGAGTCCCAGCCACCCGCAACCTGGTCTGGACTGGGACAGCCGCCCCCTGACGCCTCACTGCCCCCTTCACTCCTACAGCCCCTCTCAGCATGACAACATGGCTCTCTTGTTTTGCTATTTGTTTTTTTTTTTTATTTGTTTTTTTTTTAAAGAGGGGAAAGGAGAGGGAAAGATAGACACATCCGTGATGAGAGAGAATCAAGGACCAGCCGCCTCCTGCACGCCCCACCCTGCCCGAAACTCCAGCATATGCCCTTGACCGGGATCGAACTGGGGACCCTTCGGTCCACAGACCGACGCTCTATCCACTGAGCCACACCAGCCAGGGCTGTGTCCGTGGTAATACTTTAACACCTTACACATGTGCATCTACCAAACGTGCTAGACATGGCCCTGCCTGGGAATCGAACCCCGACCTCCTGGTTCATAGGTTGACACTCAAAACCATTGAACCACACGGGCCCGGCTGTTATTTTTTTTTATTTCTTACCCCTGTTTCCCCGAAAATAAGACAGTGCCTTCCATTAATTTTTTTTTTTTCTCCCAAAGTTGCGCTAGGTCTTATTTTCAGGGGATGTCTTATCTTTCCATGCGCTAGGTCTTATTTTCGGAGGATGTCTTATTTTCGGGGAAACACGGTATTATTATTAAAAATAGAATCACGTGGTGCCTGTGCTCGGCCCCTGAAGTCCAGACATCAGGTTCGTCACTCCCGGGGCTAAAAGGCCCTGGGGAAAGGCCCCCCCCCCAACCCGTTCTGACCTCACCCTCCTTAACCTGCCCCCCTCCTCGGAGCGTCCCGGCCAGCCTGGAGTTCTGCGCTGCCTATGTCCCTGCCCCTCTCCTCTCCCAACCCGTCCCCGTTCCAAGGGGACCTGACGCCCCGGCCTGCCGGGCTTTGAGAGCAGCTCCCTGTGGCTGGCATTCCCGGGCGCCCCTCCTGTGAGTCCAGGAGAGCAGGGCCTTGACCGACCAACTGACCAACCGACCAACGCCCAGCACGTGCCTCGGGCCTCGCCTGAGT